GGGCAGAATCCCCTCCCTCACCCCCCTGGCCACGCTGCTCTGGATCCAGCCCAGGGCACGGTTGGCTTTCTGGGCTGCAGCATGCAGCCGGCTCGTGTTAAGAGCGCTGAGGCAGGGATAAGCATCGCAGAGCTGCTCCACGCCGCGTTCAGCTGCCCCAGCTCACCTTGCACGCGTGGGCTAACCCCCAGCATCGCAGGAGCACTTGCTGTAAGCCACCTGCCATTGGTCCTATCAGTGATCCCAGGGTTCCCACCAACTGATCCCAGCAGACCAGGGATTCCCATGGACCCACTAGCTCATCCTGCTTTCTCACAGCAAGCCCGAGCGCTGCAGCTGCACGCACAGACATGAGTGTGCTTTCGCTTGTCCTCATTAGTTTGCTTTTTCTACGTGAAAAAGGGACTGCTTTTTTCATTTCAGCTTCCTCTTGAATAGTCCTTATGGTAGCATGAGTGTCCATGATAAATTCCATAAGGATTTAAGGCACTTTGAGCGTGCAGAAGAGCATGTTTAAGCCACCTTAAAGCAACATAAGCACTCGGCTCTATCCAAACACGGGGAATTGCACGCCTGAGGACTCGGAGCTGCTCGCGTCTTCCCATCCAGCACCCACTGACAACAGCACCAAAGTGTGCCCTGAAACGCCGGGTTCTCTGCCGAGGGGGCAACACCAGGGAAATGCACCGGTGGCTGCTCTGATCCTAAAGAAATCTCAGTCCCTGCTTCCCTGCAGGCTCAACACCATGGACACATGGTTGGGAATAGGAAAGGGGAATGCTTTAAGGCTGGAAAACTGTAGTGTTTCCATCTCTAATGCCTATGAACAAGCTCATGGGCTTCATTCATGGCTACGGGGTAAAAGGCAGAGGGTAGTAGCATCCACTGTGCATTACAGGGGTGATGTCAAGGGACATGTTGCAGTGACCTTGTGCAAGCAGAGCCCTGCTGTGCCAATATTCCTTGGAGCATCCATCACCTGCCTGCAGGAAACCTGTGCGAGGGTATGGGAAGATGCAGGGCTGCCTGCAGACCCCACCGCCAGATCCTCCTGCCTTGCCTTGACTCCATATCCACCCATCACACCCAAAATCCCAGCTCTATTTTCCACCCCACCAGCAGCACACATTCTGGGAGCATCCTTCTGGGGATGCGCAGCAGCCCCAGGGCTGCATGGAGGCGATGCACGCCTCCCAGAGAAACCCCAGGCTGCAAGGAAAAAGGACAGGGATCATAGAGGATTTAACCCCAAACTAGAGCGGAGAGACTTTGTTTTTGGCTGGAAAGGTTTCTGCTCTGAAAAAAATGCAGACTCACGTCCAACAAAGCACTGTGAATCTGTGCCAAACCTACCCGAGCGGTCGCAGCCAGGCAGGGCAAGGAAAAACACCCCAACCGCAGCTTGGGGAGTGGCTTGCAAGGGTTTCACTACATCTTCCATTTTCCTTTGGCTGAACAGATGAGTTTTCTCAGTGAAATTAAAGCTTTCATAATGTTAAAAAAGCACAAAACTGTATTTTGGTATTTTTTAAGCTCTGTGATCCTGGAAAGTCCCAGGAACTTTGACTTTGCTCTCGTTTTTGCCATCTGTGCCCCTCTGGTTCCACACCTACTGCAAAAAAAAAAGCCCCAAATTCTACCAAAAGGGCCGTTTGCTCCATCCTTCCCCCGCTAAACCCTTCAGATGCCTCGCAGCATATCCCCACACAGGAGAAAATCCACCTACTCCCCTGTGGAAACCCCTCCTGCCACGCGGGAGCAGCAGCAAAGGAGCTCCCAAGGCTTGGCGCATCCAGAAATCCAACTTAACGAGTCATTGCCAAACCAAGCACCAGCACAAACGAGCTCCCAAGCACCTCGATGTGTTTTTACCCTTAACGTGGATGCTCACGCGTGTGCTACGGATGCTCCACACCCACCAAGGACTCCAGCTGCGAGGGCAATGTGGCTTCCAGGACCTCAGCACATTTACATCTCTCTTGTTTTTTCCCTATTCCTCCCCTTTCTTATTCTTTAACCAAAAACTGGGCAAGTCTCCACACAGCTCCAGCCACTCTGGGAGGAAGCAATAAGCTCAAGTGCCTGTTTCCCTGCAGAAATCCAGATTTTCTTTCCCTTAACCTCAGTCAGTGTTTCCTGTAAACAGCATCGCATCACCCCACAGCCCCAGGGATGCAGACAGCCCGGAAACACCGGCAAAACCCCTGGAAAGGGGCTGGGGGCTGCCCAGAGCCGGCATTGTGTGGTAGGAGGCTCCCGGACGAGGCCTTTCCTGTAGATTTCTGGTTCTAGCAGCCGGTGGAGGCTTTCCCGCAGCCGAAATAGCTCCTGGGGGCCTTGGCGGTATGGCAGGGGTCCCAGGCCCACCGACTGCAGGGAGCATCAGCCTTGGGATGGAGCTCTGTCTCGGGCGCTGCGGTGCAGGAGGAGCAGGAAAAGCAGCTCTTGGGGCAGTTTTGCACCAATGGGAGATCTGGGGTTGAAAAATGAAAAGCTCAGCATCCTTTGCTCCTTCGCCTGGCTCCAAGGCAGGCTGCTCCCGGCCTGGCGCTGGAGCAAGATGCTCAGGAGGTGGGTGGGTAGGAAAAGACCACTGTCAAAACACCATCTTCATGTCTGGTCCTTCAGGAGGCGGGTCTGGCAGAGGTCGTGTTCTCTGCTGGAAAGCGTCCCGGGGAAGGCAGCATCTTACAGAACCATGGAATTGTTTTGGTTGGAAAAGACCTCTGAGATGATTGAGTCCAACTGTTAACCCAATGCTGCCAACCCCACCACTAACTCACGTCCCTTGTCCACATATCTCTTAAATCCCCCCAGGGATGGTGACTCCACCACCTCCCTGGGCAGCCCGTTCCAATGCCTGACAGCCCTTTC